TTTTCCGGAGGATCGGGGCCAGTGTAGACGCTCTTTTCCGGCTTTTCTAAAAGCCGGAAAAAAGCGGTGGACATTTTTATTTAAATGCCGCGGGGGATATTTAAATCCCCCGCGGATTTCCCTATTACGATAGCTGAAATTAACATGCCCCTTCCGGAAAAGGGGCCAGTGTAGACGTAGCCCAGGGGTGTATGTATGCCCATAATTGAGAATAACTGTACTGATCTATCATTAGTAAAAAAGAAATCATATGTGAGCTGTTGTGTTTGACCAACAGCACCCCCTTTAGCCACGTGGAGCATTGCACCTGAGTTCATTCAGTCTTGCCAGCCTGCTCACAACACTAACAGCCACCAGATTACTCTGCTTCCCAGCTCTTTTATCCTCCCAATTGCTGCAAGGTGGCCAATCAGCTTTGGTTGGCACTACCTTTATGAACTCGTTGGCTGCTGGCCAGCATGGGGCATATACACCACCCTCCACACATGCTAATAATTATCCTTTCTTTTTATAAAATGTAAATAATTGTGTTTTACATTTTTGGAGTTAAAATAATGCATGTAACTTGTTTACTGTTTTTTTGTGTGTGTTTTGTAGTTAGCTATAAGAAGGCTGAGTCTGTTAGGGAGGTTATGGAAATCATAGATGCTGGGACTTTCATGACCTCTGTAGTGGCTGGGGGGGGGGGGGGCAGCCCCTGCTGGGGCAGTCCTGGCCTGCCCCACAGAGCAGCAGCAGCTATCCCAGGCCATGCCTTTCCCCAGCAGCAGCAGAGCCCTGGGCTGTGCACCCCCTCTAGCAGCAGCAGTAGTGGTCCTAGGCCACCCTGTTCCCAGGAGTAACAGTGGAGGTCCTGGGCCACTCACTCCCAGGTAGGATTGCCAGGTGTTTGATTTTCAAACAGAACATCTGGTTAAAAGAGACCCTGGTGGCCAGTGCTTACTTGAAGACCTGGACCACATCATGGCCAGATTTGCTGCCCTGGGCTTCCCCAACTGCTGGGAGCGGTGATAGATGGAACCCATATCCCTATCCCTGCCCCCAACCACTGTGCCGCCTGGTACATAAATAGAAAAGGATATTTCTCCAACTGCAAGCCTTGGTTGACCACCATGGACAGTTCAGTGACATTTTCATTGGCCAACTGGGGAGGGCGCATGATGCCCACATGTTCAGAAACTCCAGCCTCTACCAGAAGCTGGAGGCTGGCACATTCTTCCCCCAGCGCAACATCCGGGTCGGGGATGTGAAGTTGCCACTGTGCATTGTGGGGGATGCAGCCTACTCCCTCATGCCGTGGCTGATGAAGCCATACACCAGCTACCTGGATCCAAGCAGGGACTGTTTCAATGCCCGCCTGGGCAGAGCCCACACTCAGGCTGAATGCTCCTTTGCACACTTGAAGGCATGGTTCAAGTGCCTCCTGACCCACCTTGATGTGGGGGAGCACAACATCCCCCAGGCAGTTGTGGGAAGGGAAGGGGGAAGCCTTTCTTCCAGGGTGCGGGGCAGAGGCCGGCCGAGAGGGAAGGGCCTTTGAGCAGCCATGCATAGCTGCCATCCGCCAGGTCCATCAAGGCCTTGAAGAAGGGGTGGGGCATGGGTGTTTGGGTTTTTTTTTGTGATCAGATAGTTATCAACTCTACCCCTATGAGCAGCATTGGGGGTCCTGGATCATCACAGTCCCTAGCATCAGCTGCACTCTGGAGCCCATCCTGCCTTGGATCTACCCTCCAGAGCAGCAGTTACACCTCCAAATCAGCCAGGACATCTAAAATTTAGTCAGTGGTATTTACAGTATAAATCATGGATAGAGCATGGGGCTGTGAATTTTTATTTACTGCCCATGACCTGTCCATGACTTTTATTAAAAATACCCATGACTAAATCTTAGCCTTAGGTACAAGTCTCTAGAAGCCCACTGAAAAATATCATCTTACTTTTTATTACTGTTTTAATAAATTAGTGCTTTAAATAGTTGATCATTTTTGAGATTATCTGCATATTTGACCAATGTTTGACTGGTCAATTGACCAATCATTTATGGATGGTCAAATGCGCAACCTTGGTCAAGCAGTTTTCTCCTCATTGCCTGGTGCCAAAAGGGGGTCATTAAAAGCACATTATTGACAGTTTCTCTACTTTCAGTTCCAGTACCTGGCATCATAACACACGGTAGCCAGGAGAAGTAATTGCTGGGGAAGTCCTTCTCAGCCTTTGTAACCAAGGGATAGAGCATCTGACTGAATCTTCAGATAATTTAGCTGCCAATCTCTAAAAGGTTGCTACTGAATCTTGGTGAACTGCAATTTTCAGAGCTCGTAACGCAGCCAAGATATAGTTGATTTTTATAAGGACAATAAAAAGCATATCCTTGACACCAACACATATGCGTGCTAGAATTTCTCAATGAAGTGGCTGTACCAATTTTTTAATATGAGCAAAACAAAATAGTCCACAGAAACAGCAAAACCACTTTATCTAAAAATTTCCAAAAAAAATCATCCTGAGATAGACACCTGGCTTGGAAAATTTCAACCCAAATAGCTAATGCTTTGCAAAATTATTAGCAAATAGTCTTATAAAGGAAAATATTATGCAAACTCATTTAGAAGCATCACTAACAGTTCTGCTTATATTCAAAGAAAGTATGTCAGTTTTGTCGGTTTAGTAATGTGATTCTAGACTATGTCTACAGTGTGTTCTTTTTCTGCTTTTTTTCCGGAAGAGGCTATTCCAACATTTGGCCCATCTAAATGGGGCCAAATGTGGGAAAAACCTCCTCTTTTGGAAGATTCTTTATTCCTCATAAAATGAGGAATACAGGGCTTCCGAAAGAACACACCCGCTTTTTCTAAAACTGTTCTGAAAAAGCGGAAGCGTTCCCTGGATGCAGCAGAGTATTAAAACTCTAGTGTAGACATAGCCCTAGTATATAGCAGTGTAGCTCTGATGCTGACTTCCTCTGGGGTCTTGGGCAAAACTTCACTAACTTAAGCTTCTGTCTCCATTTTATAGGCATTTCTATAAAATGTGGCATACTACTACTTACCTACACTTACTCTCAGATGTCATGCCATAGAACCGTTCTGTCATATTGGACAAATCAGTTCACCTCTCTGTGTCACTGTTACCTATGTGTTTAGATTGAAAAGTCTTCAAAGTCTATGTGTTTGTATAGTACCTACCAAAAAATTATCTTCACTGAGGTCTCTACAAACTACAATACGAATAAAAAGTTAAATATCTAGTCCAAGTTCTTCTCTGCTTTGTATTTTCCTGTCTTCTTAGTCTGACCTTAATAAACTCTTCTGAGTAGGATCTGTATTCATTCTGTGTCTACTGCGTGGTTGAACCGTCAGGGCTTACTAAAAAGTAGTAGCATGGGCTGACAGTGCCCTTTACTTCTGGAGAGGACCCAGCTCTGGTGATCTGGCTAAGAAGTAGCTGAGAAAGTGTGCCAGCTCCATGGCATCATCGCTTTCCACTTTTCCTTGACCCAGCAGAAGCTCTCCATGGATTAAGGAAGGGGCTGTAGGCAGAAGGAGGATTGCAATCTGTAGGTGGAAAGGAACATAGCCAGAGGCATGGCTGCTCTCCATCACTCCCACCCCAACTGAGGATCCCAGAACAAAATAATGTTGATTTTGTTAACATTCTATTACTTGCTGTTAACTTAAATTGATTGGCGTCCAGGGAGGGGGGGTTGTGTGAAGGTAGAAGACCACCAAGAAGGGTAGAAGATTATTCTGTCATCTTTGGATCTCCCAGGATTTGAGGATTTAAGAGGCCGGTTCTTGTTCTGCAGGGGCTAGATAGTTAGATTCTGCACTGTGAAAGAACGTGTTGGAAATGCAGTGTGTAGAAACTCCCAGAAATTCCTGTCTTGTTTTGTGCGTATGTATGTATTCAGTTTTTTTTAATGGAACAATTTGTCCTCTTAACATTGAACATGAAAAGTGCTATGTGACTGCAAAATTTTAATCATAATTATAATTATCAAGCCTGGAAAAAAATTGTGTCAAATGAAAAAAGAATAACTTTTTTAGACAAGTAAATAATGTAACTAGACAAATCAATGCAAATGAAAATATCCAGCTTTTGTTCCATGCCACAGAATACTCTAGTCAGGTCTTCTTTTTATAATGAGGAAGAATCTGGATATTTAGTGTGCAAAACTGGAATCAGTGAGTTTGGCCCCTAGTGGCATTTTCAACCTTTGCTGGTAAAAAAGAATAAACAAGAAAAAAAATGAACAAACATTCCTTAGAGTACCCCTTGAGCATAATTATATTTATAATTCCCCAGAGCCTTTTTTTCATTTTGCTGTCATTTTAGAAAATATTTAAAGGTCTTTCTCCTCTCTTTGCCTCACCTCTTTCTTTGGGGTTCTATCAGTTCCAGCTACTCTACCTTATCTCCAAGGTGATTTAGATCTATCTGAAAGAGCTAGAATGAATTAGCTACCAGACATGGGGACTGCAAAATGAGCCAAGATGGAAGGATCTTAACAGATCCCAAATACAGATGCACAGGATTTGCAACAAATAAATTCCACTCTTTCAGATAGACAAATACAAGGCAATAAGGCAAAAGAAGCCATTTTTTCTTCATAAGTCAAATTTACATGGCGAGGTTTTCCTTAAGTAACATCTGGATATTTAGACAAAAAGTCCAGGATGACTAAGGATGGACAAATGCATGATTGATACCTTAATTATTCCCCTGAAGTACATTATTGTACTAGACAACTAACATTTTCCCCATACTGACCCCAAATACTCTAACAAAATGTCCTTCCAGATGGGAGTACGAGATGGCAGATGTTCTTACACAATATTTCACTCATCTTTCCCAAACAGTTTTGCCAATTTATTTTGGTTCAAAAGTGTAAACAGAAGTTAGTCCAATGAGGAGATTGTTCATTTAATAGGAAAATGGTGTCAGATAATTTCAGAGTTCTTTTATATTACAACTTTAGATAGGGCTGAGTCTAAAACATGGTCAACTTCTCAAGAGTTTATGGAAAAGGGTTGGTCAAAATACAACACCTTGTAAGTCCAACACAACGCACAAGCTGTGTCTATCCCTAAATCACCATTCCAGGCTGCTTTTGGTTTTAGTGATTTCCGCTAGTATGGGGAGATGAAGGACCCAGAAAACATGGTCCCAAGAACTGGAGATGCCTGACTGGATGCAGCTGATCTGAAATAGACATGCTGATAGGTCTTCACATAGGTTTCTTTACTTGTTTGCTGGAGGAGGGGGGAAACCAGCCGGCGGTGAGCAGGTCTGGCCCTGAGCAGGTCTGGCCCGGGCACACACAGATGCTGGGGTGCGGCCAGTCCCACACACGGTCCCGGTGAGGTGCACGGGAGAGTCTGGCCCCAGGGATTCCATCCTGCCCCACTCCCCTCTTCTGTACTGCGTAGTTGCTTACTGCCTGGATGGCAGACACACTCACGCAACAGGAGCGCGTCTACCAGCCAGGCAGTGCGCAGCTAGGTACTGATACTCATAACAACAATAGAACGCACCTCATTAGAAAATACCCCCCCCCCTTATACCTCCGGTATTTTCTCAGTTTGTTTCCCAAACAGAAAGCTCAAATACCAGACAGTCTGGTTCAAATCCCTGCACCTGGCCACCCCACACCCACCCCATCTGACGGGCTTCCAAGCGGCGGAGCAGCCACCGGGCCACACAACCACAGCTAGCCCGAGGGGGGAGCA